TGGCTCAGATGGTTAACTGTCTGCCTTCAGCTCGGGTCATGATCTCTCTGTCAAATAGATAAATGGAATCTGGCTCTGTGTAGCCCTGCATAACTAACTTAATCTCTCTCGGCCTCAGATTCCTCACCTCTAAAATGCTGGCAGGGTAGTTGTGAAGGTTAAATGAGATACTGTAGATGAAGTGCCAGGAATCTAGCAAATGCAGTGATGGAATATCCCTCCCCCTTCCTCTGCCCGGCTAACTTCATCTCAACATTTACCCTGAGTGTCACAGCCTCCGTGAAGCCCTCCCTGATCCTCCCGGGTATCCTGCACCCCTGCCTCGTCAGTCAGTCAGCCGGTGTTTCTCTCATAGCTCTTAAAATGTAAAATGATGGCTGGCCACGTCATTGGTGCTTCCTCTGCATTTTGCGGGTCCGGAGGCCTGGGATGGCTGTCGATCACCTCATTGGCCCGAGCGCCGAGCAATACAGCAATGGGCACTTGCTACTGCACGGCACGGCATTTCTGATAATGCGCAGCAATGTCTCCGCAAACCTCATTTTGAATAGTAAAGCAAATGGAATCATATGAAGCCATCCTTTCTCCTTTTGGACTGTGGGCTCTTCTGAAAGCAAGATGACACCTTCTATAATCTAGGCACTTACAGTAAATACCTCTGAGAGATATAAAAATATTTGTGTAAAATATTTTGCATTTACCGGGAAGTTATAAATAAAGCAATCTGACCAGAAAGCCGAAGACCCCGCCCTCGCAAAGGCAGTGGAGCCTGGCCAGCTGCAGGCTCCCTGCCTGGTGCTTAGAAATGGAAATAGGGAATGAAAGGAGCCTCTCATCCCAGGAAGTGCTGGGGAAGAGACAGAGCTGCAATTGTATCCAACTTTTTATCTAAAAAAAGTAACATGGACAAAGGGAGGGTGATGTGGGAAAAGGCATGAAGAGCCCTTCTAGATTCAGGTCTAACAGCTGATGCTTATGCCCTATGCAGTTACTCCTCGTAACCAGGGCAACCAAGATCCAGGCTATACTTGTATTGTACTGAATTTCTGTGCTGTTAGTTCATTTCTATTATGGGTCACGGGTAGGGAATTTGCAGTTGTTGGATTTGATGAAACACCCATTTGCAAAACTGCCTATATAAGGACGGGAAAAAAAATATTTTTCCTCTATCCCATCTAGGTTCTTGGCTGGGGCTCTGTAACAAAAGACAGATTAACAAAAGGAAAGCATTCACATTTATGTAATATAAATTCTACATGACACGGGAGACTTCATAAGGAAATGAAGCCCCAAAGAGAGTTAAACCGGTGTGCTTTTGTGGAAGGTCAGGCAGGAATGGGATAGAACGGAAGGGTATGAGCCAAGGGGAAAACCTAGAAAGTCCTCTTTGCTCAGATTCCCCTGTGTGCCTACCTCTGCAGAGATCAGGGATGCTCCTTTCCTTGGGTAGGAGGAGGGCATCTCTCAGTGGAGGGGCTTAGGACCTGCCTCAAGGGAGCAGGGGGAGGCAGAGAGTCCTCCACCTACAGGCCCTTACTTAGATTCCTTCAGCTTCTTCTGTATGAGAAGGTACCAGATTTTGGAGTAGCATTTCCTGAACCCCATCGCCAAGGACTCCGTCAACTGTAAAGATGCAGGGAGACCATCTGGTGTACTCTTGTTTGAAACCAGTCACATGACAATGGGACCATTGCTATGGCCACCTGACTGGATGTCTCTGCATCCATCCTGGCTTCCTTCCCCATCTAACTTAACAAAGCAGCCAGAGGGAACTTTCCTAAAGGCCACTGAAGTTGTCTCACTACCAACTCCCTCCCTTCAATGGCTTCCCATTGGGCTTGGAAAAAACCCACAGTCCTTATGATGATTGACAAGGGCCCTAATGAACCCAGTGGCTCTTGTGACTTCACCTCAGCTCTGGTCAGCTCCTGTCGTGCTTCCCACCCCCCTCCCCCCCGGACCTTGGGGCCATTGTACTCGCCATTTCTGTAACGGTGATTGTAAATTAAACAAAGCTCCTTTCCCCCAGAAGCAATTTTAAAGAAAAACACTTTCTTTTCAGTGGGTGAGACATAGAATGTGAAAGGATGATTATACTTAAAAATGTAATGCTGTCTCATTGGCTAAAAGAAAAAAAAAAACCCACACTGCTATTTGCCTATCTCTGGTTCCAAAAGTCACTGACAAAGTCGAAAGGAAATGAAAAAGACTACCCAGATTTTTACATTTTGGAGAGTGAAGGAATTTCCGTTTCAAATGCTTTTATTTGTCTGCAAATGAAGTTTGCACAATTCCAGCATAAAAACTTTTTTAAAACCCCACCACACACAAAAAACAAACAATGACAGGAACACTTGGTTTTCATGTGATGTGCCCTTTTAGAACCCCTAAATAGTTTTTAAGATCATCGTAAGTCACATGAAACCAGTTTGTGAAACTTCAAGTTTTAGGTGACTTTGCAAGTTTCTCTTTAAAAGACTAGCATGTTACATCAAAATAGGCAGCCCTGGGAAGCCACCAGGAGAAAAGATATCAAAATAGAATTCACACTCGACGGCCTCTGATTACTTCAAACCCATTTGAACACACGAACATATTCTAGTTTTAGGCACTGTTTGGGGAATTGTGTCAGGAGGCAGGTAAACTGTGTGTCTGGTTAAGCTTTCAGAGCTCTGACATAGGAAGTTAGGAACGGTGGGAGAAAAGAACTGGTGAAAATGTGTATAACTCCGAAGTAAACTTATTAAAACTGTAACCATTAACATTCAACAAGTTCTCAAAAGAGAACAAAATCAGCTATAATCACACAGAAGGTGTGTTGTGCTTAAATAATTGCACAGGTTGGTTCAACACTGCAAAAGCCTTAAAGAAGGAATTTCCTCTTCAATTCATTTATTAGAGAAATGTTGGTAGATTCAAAGACTCAGGCAATGGACGACCTCTGACAGATCAAGGCCTGTTTTTACATTAGCACAATTGGAACTTCAGACCTAAAAGGGTTCAGAGTATGGGACCCCCAATATGCCATCCTGGCATGAGGATCATTCTGGGCTGAACGCAAATGAGAAAAGGCAGACACGGAATGAGCTCTCTGCCTGAAAGCAGAACGTAAATTCCCCTTACGAATTCTGTACCAGGAAAAAGGTTAACAACCTCCTCAGGATGGCAGCGAGAAGAGTCTACACAAACAAACCTTACTAAATAACCATTATGTTCATTAGTCCCCCCATATATTTACCCTCCCAGTTTGCTGGCCCTAAAAGCCTAAAGCCCCTTTCCTCTTATTTCTCTACAAATGTATCATTATTTCCTAAGATGCTATTACACAAGCCCAAGTTCTAACCACCCATTTGAATTCTTCATCACTGAGTTTCTCCTGTATGTATCATGCCCAGCGTGTTAATGAACGGTTTTTCTCTCGTTAGTCTGTCTTTTGTCCGTCTAATTTGCAGGGTCCCAGCTACAGAGCCTAGGAGAGCTTTTATCCTCCCCTACGTATCTAAACTCACATGCCCTCGAGAACATGAAGACTCCCTAACATCGGAAACCAAATTTCATAAACACTTTATATACTCTGGAGGACTTGTGCAGAAAAAACAAAAAAACAAACAAATAAATATGCAACTCCTCTGACTAGGCAAAAGGACTCGAAACAAAATTCTACCTGTGAGATTAGAGGATAATTTTCATGGTTCAAGGGAGAGACAAGTGAGAAGAGAGGGGAAAGTAACAAAGCCCTAGTTATCCAATGTTAGAGCCTAAAGACACTATTCATCTTGTCCCACATCGCCAGGAATACCTTTCTCAGAATCAATGTTGAAGCGGTCTTGGACGGTGAATTTGGAGGAAGACAGTGTGGGAGCAGTTCCAGCTGGGCTAGCTAAGTCACAGCACCCCTGGGGACCTGTTTCCTCAGGTGTAAAGTGTACAGTGACATTCTTTTCTTAGAACCGTGAGACCATCAAGTGAGAGCCTGTGTGTGAGTAGTTCTCAACTCTGTCTCAAAGTAACTTGAGGAATTAAAAAAGCCTGGGCTGCATCCCATGCATTCAGATTCAATTGTTCAGGGGAGTCCCCCCCCCCCCGCCTCGCCCCGCCCCGCCCGAGCATCAGTGGGTTGTCAAATCTCCCCAGATGATCCTCATATGCAGCCACTGTTAAGGACTACTGGCCTACTGAGAAAGCAGCACTGAACTGCCTTGAACAGGATCACCCGGGGATCCAGGAGCATGAGGCCTGAGACTGTGCATTTCTAACAGGCTCTAGGGCCTGCTGAGCTGCTCTCAACCACACTCTGAGTACAGCAAAGGACTAAGTAGCCACAAAGCACAAAGCAGACAGTCATCCACTCTCTCCCCAAACAGTCAACTTTTAGTGATCGTGGCGTGAACTTCAGTGAATGACTTTCCTTCCTCTTAGGATTAAGAATATAGTGG